AAACCCATTCATCAAATTCAACCAAAAAAAAAAGTGTTGTGTTCCAATATGAATAATAAAATGAAGGAAAAAAAATTAAAAGGATTAAGTAATTATAATTCGTGAAATATAACAAAAGCTCTAAAAGCAATGGAAGACACAGAGTTGTCCTTTTGAGAAAAGCAGCTGCTGTTTATGGAGTACCGATTGTTACCCTTGCTAAATGAAAAAGTATTAGTCCTGAGGCAAAAATTAGAACTGGGCCGGTGACAGTGTTATCTTTAAAAGAAGAGGATGTTATTGTTCAGTGGGTGTTGTACAGAGCAGTAATAGGGTCACATGTGACAAAAACTGAATTATTGAAGACGTATAACAATCCGTTACTGTCTTGGACAATCATTTTAATGTGATAAACTGTGAACAAAATAATTTAATTAATGATGAACAATTTTTTACGGTTATATATGAATCTAATCAAGTTAGTCTTCAAGAATCATCAATTGATGGCAATAACGTAATACTGTGCACTTCTAAAGACTTCAGTGAAGACAACGTAATTGATCAAACTATCTCTACTGATGATACAAATTTAGATATATCTGCAAAACCCAGAGTGATTATAACAGAGCTCACAAATATTCATTCTACAAATCTTATAAACAACAAAGTTTATCAATTAGGTATGTAAATGTCAATCTCACATTCATGTTCAATAAATTTAACTTAATGTGACTTTTTTTCAGAACTTATAAAAGAAAATTCAGATCCAGAAAAAACATGAAAGAAGAAAAGTTTAACAATAAAAAAATATTACAAGAAGAAAAAAAATTAATGGCTCAAGTCAAGGAATGACAAAAAAATCAAGAACGAACAATAGATTTAATTCAATAATTTGCGTTGATTAATTGTTTAACTGATAAAAAATTTTTTATAAGTTAATTAAAAATTAAAGTAATTCCTTCTTTTGTAAATACGATTGTCTAAAATTGATAAATATATCAAATTTGATCAACTTTGCTGATTTTTTAACTGTCTCAAAAATAGGGTCCTGTGGTTTGAGACACTGGGGACATGTGACTTTAAAGTGTCTCATAAATAGGGTCATGTAGGTTCCCCAAAAAAACCATAATTTAATTAATTTTTGACCAAAAAAACTATAAAAACAATATGAATATTGATTTAATGATCATCAAATTATCGTATAATGCGATTAAAAGTGTATTTTTTTCTTAAATGGATTAATTACTCGCAGGAATGTTCAACCTACCTTGAAAAGTGTCTCATAATAGGGACTTTTACCTTACCACGCATGTAGTTTTGGATGATAACTGTACATGGTTTAAACATATAAGAATTCTCATTTGATCCTCATACTCTTCAATGAGGATTTTGAGGCTTTCGTTCGGATTTGAAACCTACTATACGCTGGAAAGAAATAATGCTGTTTTCCAACCATTAAATTTTTATCTCGAGGAGTTCTTTCAAATTATTTGTTTTATTATTGATAATAATAAATTTTTTGAGAGATAAGTATCAATTATTACTGTTTTTACTATCAGTAAACAAAAAATAGCTTCACTTAAATTAACTAAAAATTATGTCAATTAAGTTAACAAATTTTTGTAACAAGAAGATAGATTAAGAAAATATTAATTAAATTGCTATTCCTTATACACTTTTATTCATAAATATTTTCAAATATTGTACTCATTTTTTAATATTGTAAAATTTATGTGGTCACCATAAATGAAACCTTTTTTCAAACAAATTAATAGTTTTTGTTTGGTGTTAGTTTAGTTTTTTGTGGAGATCTTACGAAAGGTTTTTGAGTTATAATTAAGTATACAAGAACATTTTTTTTTCTTATCTCATACAGTGCAATGTATGACCTCTTAAAAAATTCTAACTTTGAAATTAAATATTTCCAAAACTGTACGATGCAGCAATCTCATTTTTTACAAATCGATGCAGAATTATTATTATATATGCTCTGAAGAAATGCAAAAAAAGTCATTAGCATTAAAAATCATTTGCATTGATGAATCATTAAATGAATTTGAGTAGGTAAACAGGGGGTGCTACTCAATCGGTAAAACAGATTTATGTGTTCGTGTCCATGCTAAGTACCATCTGTAGATATGGACGACCTGTTTTACCGACAGTAAGCGTTGCTGTGGATATGGATGACATGTTTTACCGACATTTTGAGGTTATGGACGAGGTTTTTTATCGACTTGGTTGTAGGTGGCGCTGGTGGTGAATTCTGCCACCATTTTTGAATTTTACTATCCGCCATTTTCCCGCCATTTTTAAATCCGCCATTTTCCTGGAATTGTGAATCCGCCATCTGGTGGTCGCTATCTGTCATTTTAAGTCTGCTATCTGAAATCCGCCATTTTGAATCCGCCATCTGGTGGCTGCTATCTGAGTCTGAAATCTGCCATTTTGAGTCTGAAATCCGCCATTTTGAGTTGTGAATCCGCCATTTTGAATTTGCTATCTGAAATCCGCCATCTGGTGGCTGCTATCTGCCATCTGGTGGCTGCTATCTGCCATCTGGTGGCTGCTATCTGCCATCTGGTGGCTGCTATCCACCTTTGAATCTGCTATCTGAAATCCGCCATCTGGTGGCTGCTATCCACCATCTGGTAGCTGCTATCTGCTATCTGGTAGCTGCTACCTGCTATCTTGTGGCTCCTATCGGCCATTTTGAGTCTGAAATCCGCCATCTGGTGGTAGCTTCTATTACATCAAACTGCGTTGTACATGACGTCATCAAACAAGTTTAGACTAGTTTTTTGAAAACGGAGAGGGGAATTTCCACGAATCAGATGACTCATACATTCTAGAATTATCTTACTGCGTAGTAGATGACGTCATCAAACCGATTTTGAGGTAAAGGAGTGGGGGTAACTGCGCAGTAGATAACTCATTTTGTTCTAAAATTTTCCTACTGCGCAGTAGATGACGTCATCGAACCAGTTTTTAGGTAGAGGGGTGGGGTAACCGCAGTATCTTCTGCCTATATAAGCAGCTCGCCGAGAGTGAACTTTACAAATAACGAAGTGCACGTCTCCAGTGAAATACGAGTTCTTGGTGGACACAGGTTTTCATTGAAGTATAAAAATAAATTTTTGTTATCTAGCTTGCTTGATATCATGGCGGAAATTTTAGACATAAAAAAATCAATTATTTTTGATTAGTCTATTGCACACTGTGAAGCACATTCACACATGCCATACGCATCATCGACATTCAACAACAGTGATGAAATCAGGATTGCTATTCAACATCAAGATCTGTGCTTGCTCCCAAGCAAGAGCACATTACATTTTTATGGAAGAATAAGAAAAGCAGATGGTACTGCTGTAAGTGCTACTACAAAGATGGTCAACATGGCTGTCTGTCATATGTTTGAAGAGATACGTTATGAGCTCAATGATGTAGAAATTGACAGATGTAAGAATGTAGGCATTACTACTCTTATGAAAGGATATGCTTCTCTGAGTCCAGGACAGCCAAATATTCTGGAAAATGCTGGTTGGATTGTTAATGAAGATAATAACAAGTTGACTGATAATAGTGGTTACTTCGATATCTCAGTACCTCTGAGAGGGGACCGGCGCCTCTTCCCTCCCCCTCTATTAGTTTATTGGTAATATGACTCAGTTAAAATTGCATGTCTTAAGCGTGAGCGTAGGTATAGCTCAATTCTCGCCTAAAAATGAAGATCCCGTGTTTCGTCACATTAATTTGTACCTGACAGACATAATAAGGAAACAAATGCTACAAAAACTATACTGTCGGATAAAAAAATAATCACTAATTTTTCAAAAATTTTTTTTTTGATTTTTTAATAACTATTTTTACATAAAGTGGTGACATATTTCTCATGTTATATGTTAATTTGTAAATATAACTCAAATTTTTTTCGGTGAAGTAAAAAATTTTCTAAGTCCAAAATACAACTTTTCACTGAATGAGACTTTTAAGGTTGTAGTGAAGATTCTAAATCAACGGGTGGTTCACATTAAGACCTCAAAATCTTCAATGATGATTTTGAGTATCAAAGTAGAGTTACTTTCTGTGCGGCAAATAAAACATCAAAGGAATTGAGGCTTTTGAGGTTAAAACTAAGATTTGTTTTTTGACTCGGGAACCGATGCTAGCAAATGGGTTGATGGTCAATCCATTTTATGGGTGCTCCAATGTCAACCTGGTTCTCCGGCGGCAGATGCCAATTTTGCCTTTTTGGCCATAGCTCGGGTTACTCGTCGCGGTCCCAAGGTTTCATCTACAACTGGTTCAGGGTTTTCGCGGTCAGGTTGGTCACGGTCAGGTTGTTCGCGGTTAGGTTCCAGTGGGTTTCCCTCATGAAAGGGTTTTAGGTTTTTGATATGTACGGTAAAGGTTTTATCTTCCTTGGTGACCTCATATACTGAGGGTCAGGTTTCGCTGAAAAATTATTAATTGCAGATGACAAATGGTGTTCCCTCTTGCTGACCAGGTCTCCAAGAACAGGTTGCCAGGAACCTCGCTTACGGTTATAATATTTGGCTTATTTCCCATAGGCCTGTGTCAGGTTAACTTTGACTAGCTCGATCGTGTCTTCCAAAGACTTGGCTGCCCGATGCGGATCATATACGTCGCTTTTTCCTCGTTCGGCTCGCGACTTTATAGATGAAGGAGGCTGGATTTCGCGGCCATAGTTTTTTAAGTACGCCGGGGAAAATTCTGTCGCGTCGTGTTTCGCGGTGTTATAGGAAAATGCGAACTCTGGAACCTTTTTGTCCCAGTTCCGCTGGTTCGTTCCGACGAACTGGGCGATCATTGTCCCTATTACTCGATTCGTTCTTTCGACTGGATTGCACTGAGGCGTATATGGTGGTGTTCGAACGTGTTTAATCTCAAATTGTTGCAATAAGGAGGTAAACTCCTTACTCACCAAAGGGGTACCGTTGTCGGTAATTACCGTCTCTACCCTCCCAAAATGCAGCAGGACTCGTTCTTTGAACGCGGTGGAGATCGCGGTGGCTGTCTGTTGCCGTAACGGTTGGATTTCTACCCACTTGGTAAATTTGTCTTGGAATACTACTAAGTAACACATTCCTCGTAAGGATCGCGGCTTGGGTCCTATCACGTCCGCAGATACGACGGACCATGGCCTCAAGGCAGGGATTATTCCCATTGGGGCCAACGGAGGTTGCTGTGAGGCCTTGTATGCCTGACATGTCCCACTCTGGCGCACGTAGGCTGTGATTTCCGCCCTCATGCGCGGCTAATAATACTGGCTCGAAACGCGGGCAATCGTCTTTGCAATGCCTAAATGACCAGCTGAAGGAGCATCATGATTCTCGTGTAGTATTTTGTTGACTCCTGCGACCAAAACATACAATTTCCAGACGTCGCCTCGATCGGCGTAGTCCAAACTATGATACCGATGCCGGTATAACAGGTCTTGTTTCAGGCAATACTCGGGATAACGTTGTGGGTCATTCTCGACTCCTTTGACGATTCTTTCGTACCAAGTGTCCCTAACCTCTAGGCCTTCGAGATCTTCCTCGGGGGGATTTTCAGGGGTGCTTCGCGATAGCGCGACCGCGACTTTATTCCACTTTCCTTTCCGGTACACGACCTCGAATGCGTACAGCTGCAGGTATAGGTTCCATCGAGCTACGCGCCCGCTCGGACTTTCGATTGATCGGAGCCATTTTAGTGACTGGTGGTCCGTAATAACCGTGAACTCATACTCGAGGTATGGTCTCAGTTTCTAGATTACCCAGACGACTGCGAGGCATTCTTTCTCGGTTACGCTATAGTTTTGTTCGGCCTTATTCAGACCTCGGCTCGCATATGAAACGACTTTTTCTGCGCCATCATGTTCCTGTGTCAGGACAGTGCCTATTCCGACGTCACTCGCATCGGTTTGCAGCACGAAACGTTTCGAGAAGTCCGGAGGAACCAGTAGTGGGTCCGATTTCAGGTGGATTTTCAGGGTCTCAAACGCGGTTTGTTCCGGGGTTTCCCATCTCCAATATTTCTTCTTTTGGAGGAGGAAAGAAGGGTTTGGTTAAATCTGCAGTTGAGGATAAACCGACGGTACCAAGAAATCATTCCTAAGAACTGACGCAGTTCTTCGGTATTACGCGTTGGTACAATCTATGTGATTGCTTTAACCTTTTCTGGATCCGCTAGATCCCCTGCTCATCGATAACATGATCTAAGTACACAGTACTTAGCCTCAAAAAATGAGATTTTTTCGGATTCAACTTCAGATTCACGGCGCGGAGGTGGGTCATGACCTTTTTCAGGATTGCCATATGTTCGACAAGGGTTTCGCTGACGATTATTATATCATCCAGGTACACTTCTACGTGTGTTTCAAGGTCTGCGCCGAAAACTTCGTACATTACACGTCGAAAAGTCGCAGGCGCAGAATGTAAACCAAAAGGCATTACTCGGAATTGAAACAGGCCACGTCCAGGTATCTTGAAAGCAGTAATCAGTTTGCTTTCTTCTTCCAGTGGTATCTGCCAATATCTGCTTTTCAAATCAATAGTGCTAATGAATTTAGCTTTCCTCAATTTATCGAGTGATGCATTCACGTATGGTATTGAGAATGCGTCTTTCTCGGAGACGTCGTTTACTTTCCGGAAATCTACAGAAAAACGGTACTTCCGGTCCTTTTTCATAACTAACACGACAGGAGAGTTCCACGGACTGTTCGATGGCTCGTCGATTACATCTTTCAGCATTTTGTCGACTTCCTCGTTCATGATTTGTTGCATTTTTGGGTTTTTCAGAAAGTAACGCGCCTTCACCGGCTCGGTTCCAGGTTTGATTTTGATTTTATGTTTCGCGCACCGGGTCGGACCTATTATGTCTTCATCCAGTTGGAGCCAGGTTTTAATTTCTCGTCGAGCAGCTTCCAAATCGTATTCCATGTCCAATGCGTTAAAGGATTCTGCCCCGCGTAGCAACAATAAGGTTATCAACCTAATATCGTTAGATTGTCTACGCCTAAAAGCATATCGTTTGCATAAGCTGGCATGACGTGAAATGGTAGCTCGTAGGAGCGGTTGTTTTCCTGGACATTGACCCAAACTGTACCCGATGACTAGATCACGTGATTCCCTAATGTCGATCCCCGTATCGGTGTGGGGTTGTGTTTAGTGTACAATTTGTTTTTGCGGATAAAGTCCCAGATTCATTGAGAGATCACGGACGCGGTTGCTCCAGTATCCATTAATGTATGGATTTTTACATTTCCGAGTCTAATCTCGACAAAAGGACGTTTATCGTCAGGTTTCAGTGCTGTTGGCTGGAAGTGCCCGCCTTCGGCTCGGGATTTTTCGGGGCATTGTTCGTTCCTTGGGGTGGTGCTCCCTGTGGGGTCACGGGCTGGTTTTGGGAGCGCGTGTCGGACCTTGTGGCGTTTTCGATATGGACAAGGGCAATCACGAGAAAACGTGTCTAGTTTCCCGCACCGCATACAAAATTTCACTCACCGATTCGTACATTGCGCTTTGGTGTGCCCCGTTTGGCGACATCGCCAACAACATTCTAGCCAGTTATACTCAAAAATTTCTAGAGGCGCTGGTTCAACGGTTTTGGCGGGTTTCCGGGCCGATTGCTTGGTCTCTTTGACCACTGGAGTTTTCTCTTGAGCGACGAGTTGCTCGTACTCGCCTGCGAGTCGTAAAAGTCCCAGGACGCTAGCAAACTCGGTGCACTTCATGTATCGACGATATTTCGGTCTCATATTTTGATATAACTGGGTAAGACGGGCCGCGTTTGACATTTGGCCATGTCTTCGCATCAGCGTTTGAAGTCTTGTTGCGTATTCTGCCGCGGTCTTGGTTGCTCCCTGTACGTTGTTCCGGATCTGCTCTTCCAGCTCGAGGCCCGGAGACAGATAAAAAGCTTTCAGGTCCGACACAAAGTTTTCCCAAGAGGCCCAATCTCTCTTGTTGTTGCGATACCAGAAGAGAGCCTTTTCGCGAAGCAGTATTGGGATGCATGGCAGCAGGTGGTCCATTTCGAACCCATCGCTTTCTGCCAATTCTTCCAGCCGTTCCAAAAATTCTTGGATGTCGCGATCCCCTTTGAACAAGACGCCCCACTTCCGCACCATGTCCCTTCTGCGTAGTTCGACGGAATCATCCACAAGCACCGACTGTTGATAACGGTCAAACCTGGGTGTTCCTTGGCTCGAGGTGCCTACCCGAGTGGGCTTACTTGGCCGACCCCACGTCTTGACCGCCGATTTCTGTCTCCTCGTCCTCGACGCTCATTCTTCTCGCTCAAAAAGCGACCTTAGTTATCGCCGTGAACGCGTCCGCGGGCCTCTCGCTCCTCCCTTCTTCGTTGTTCGGCCTCGCACCTTAACCGTGCCTCTCTCGCGTCAAGCTGAAGTTCGTACGCTCTTTGTTCTTCTTTTTCCCGCAGGAGTCGCGCCCGTATTTCCTGACGCAAACGTTCACGTAGCTCCTGTTTGGCTCGTTCTGCGGCCTCGCGAGCTACCCTCTCTTCCTGCTCTCTTTCTCTTTGTTCCCTTTCAGCCTGCTCCCTAGCTTCGCGTGCCCGCTGTTCGCGTTCCTCCTGTTCTATCCTCTCGTTCTTGACCCGCTCCCGTTCTTCCGCTTCGATCTCGACCCGCAACCTTCTTTCGCGGGCCTGACGTTGTTTGGCACTTTGTGCCTCGGGTGACTGGTTATCGCCATCTGGGTCCTCGTTTGAGAGGTGCTCGTCATCATTCTCGGGGTCTTCTTCCCCCGACATATTGTGCAGGTTTTCCAGGTTGTCTAATTCGGCCTCTGATTGGTCGAGGTCGATCAAAAGTTGGTCGTATCGACCGGCGCGACCCGAATTCGCTGCTCGCGATTTATTCAGTTCTGTTTTTAATAAAAATCTTAACTCCGGCAACGTCGCCTTTGGCTCAATTGCCACCCGATGTTTTTCTAATTCACTGATGACCGCGTCCTTTCTGAGCGACCATAGCCACGATTGTGTTCCCGGTTTCTTACTCGTCATGATGAAATAAGAAAAAAACAAAAAAAACTATCTAAACCAATTTCGCGGTTCCCAAAATTCCCGTTACCACGGAAAACAAATCACGGTCCCTGTTCGAGTGCTATAAATTTGTAACGGGTATTTTTCGACAAATTTTTAAATATATTTTATTAATATCTAGAAATTGGAAAAAATTATCAAGAACAATCACTACCCCTTGCTTGGATTATACTCGCCGGAGTCCAGGGTTGAAAAAAGGGTATTTCAAGAGTTAGGTCCAGATATTTTATTATAAATCAAGAAAAACTTAATTAACAAATCTTGTTTCTGTTGTGAGTACTACTTTATATACACGTTTTCCTGATTTAGATGAATGCTAACTGATTTGGTTCAAGCTGTATAGTGATGAAAATATAAGTGTAAATGGATCTATCTCGTTCAAAAAGACAGAAATATTTTCAAAGTCACTGGGTTTCATTTTTTTTTGAGTCAAAGAGTACATAACTAGTTGACATATTTTAAGTGTAATGCACTTGTATTTAACCCTCGGAGTACACTGGGAGTCATTTTGACCCCAGATTTTTTTAACTTCCCGCTAAGGAAATCGAAGATTTTCAAAAATCGGGAAGTTATTGTTTTCACCCCGTTTTGCAAAAATGAGTTCCCTCAAACTTAGATTTCCTAAGAATTTGAACCGATTCGGACCGATAGATTTTGAGAAATTTTGGTGTGTGTGTGAAAGAAAAAAATCATTTTTGAAAGCGGTTTTTTTGGAATATCTTTTAAACGGCTCTATCGATCAACTTCAAAGACTAATCCGCCCTTAAGCTTGAAAAACCACGCTGATCGGCGCTAATCCGGTCAAAATCGGTTGATTGGTTCGAGAGATATCCTCGATAAAATATTTGGAAACAAGTGTTTTTTTAATATAATTCCGACATTTTTTGGAATAACTTTTAAACGGCTGCACAGATCGATTTCAAAAATCAACTATTAGCATGAAAAAATTACGTCGATCGCCGTCAAGTCAGTCAAAATTGGTCGATTCGTTCAAGAAATGTCATGAACGAAAGAAAACCAAAAAAAGTGTTGTTTTGGAATTACTCCAAATTTCCTAGTTTTATCAATTCAAACTCGAAGATTCTTCATGAAACTAAAAAAATTGCGCCAAATACTGCCAACCGCGTGAAAATCGGTTGATTTATTTAAAAGTTAGTGTGGTTTGAAAATTTTAAAAATATTGTTTTATGATACTTCAATCAGACTTTTGACTTTTCAAAATACCACATAAATTGTATTTTTGAGCTCGACGAGCTCAAAAACGTCATTAGTGCGGTTTTATGCACCTAGGTATGGAATTAGCGGGAAGTTGCACGGATGTCCTTCAGGGTCTACCGTTTTTCTAATTTTTTTGTCCTAAAATATTTCTCAAAAATAGGTTCATTTTTAATTGATTTTTTCAACATTAAAAACTATTCAATTTGGAATAATGGTAATTGTATTTAAAAGAGCATTGTTTTACCTACAAAAAATGTAATAACTTGAATTCCGATAAAATGCATAGTTTCTGAGATGTAATTCTTTGAAAGTCAAGGGGGGTCAATTTGACCCCGTGTGTATTCTAAAGTTCTGTTCGGAGGTGTGTACTCCAAGGGTTAAAAATGTTTGAAGTGAAAGTGCTAAGTGTAAATAGCAAGATACTTCATAAATGGATAGTTGAATCGCAGAGTTTATTGGAGGATTATGAACCAAAAATGTACTTAGTAGTTGTGCCTTCTTGAGTCAAAATTTCAGCAAATTGCTGTTAGCAATCAAATCCTTCCTATATCGAATTTCTGTTAATAAAAAACTAATTAACTAGAAATTTTTGACATTCTCCTTAAAATTCAAGTTATCAAGATCTTACATGTAACTATTAAATCTCGTCACGGAAAGAAATAATAAGGAAAAAAAAATAACCCATAAGAGAAACAAACCTGTGCTGTAACGTGAATCGTCTTGAACTTTATAAAAATCCGTAAGTTCTCGCCCAGAGCACAATGGTGTATCGACTTGTGTAGTAGAATTAAAAAGGGAATGGTCTACTTCATATCCTTGTCGTTCTTTGGAATAATCCACCATTGGCTCGAAGCGATGACCCCATAAAATTTCGTGTGGTAGATAACTTGATCTCGCTTGTGTAGTCTGTCCAGTAGATTCAATCGTTCCTTCGAGAATAACCACAACTTCAAACCGCTCCGTCAACATATCTTCAGCTGACATGTCATAAAATGGTGATTCTGCATTAATTTTATGAATAATTGTCATAGGCCAAATGAAGAATATATTGCCATTATTATTATCATCTGTTCCTACGGTGAGTTCTTTTTGATTCAGAGTAAGAATTTCTCCTTCTTTAGTTGTAATAGATCGGATTACTTGAGCTCTTACCATGGCACCGATTATATGAGATTTTCTCATATCAGCCACACGAAACATGAAACAAAGTTCACCATCTCGTTGACAAATGACTGCATTGCGTGAGAACAATAATGTTTGGGTACGTTGTTTTGGTCGGCTCATTTTCGCAAATACGATGCCAACCATGAATGATTGAATCATGACTCCAGCGATGCTTTGAATACACATCACAAATATAGCCTCTGGACATTCTTCGGTTGTCGATCTACTACCATATCCGATAGTGTGTTGAGTTTCAACCGAGAATAGAAAGCAACTGGTGAATGAAAATATATTGTAAATGCATGGTGTCCAATTATTTTTAGCTTGAAACGGAGGTAAATGATTTATATCAAAATCTCCATGAGTAAATGCAATAAGCCACCAAATAACTGCAAAGCCTAGCCACGACAAGACAAAACTTAGAGTGAAACAAAGTAATGTCCAGCGCCATTGCGTGTCGACAAGAGTTGTAAAAATATCTTGAAGAAAACGTAATGATCGTCGAGATATTCGAGATTGTAAAACATTGCAATCACCATTTTTGAATACCGCTCTTCTCCGTGATCTTCTTATTGGTCCTGCTCTGTACCGACTTCTGAAATCAAATTATGGTATTTATGAATACATAAAAATTATTAGTGCAGAATAGCTGCCAGCATAAATGTTTTATATATTTTGTATGGAAGATGCGCCCTTATTCACACACGGAAAAAAATAAATAGTCAATGCAACATGAGAAAATCATGTGGCAGCAACATGATTTTCATGTAGTCTTAATAGCATAAAATTAAGCTGCAACAACTTAATATTTATGCTTCAGAAAAATTATTTATTATCAAGCAACTAGATTTTTTCGGATTTATAATATTGTAGATGAAAATTAGAGTAAATTATCAAATTAAATCATTTGTAATGATATTTTTGCTTAAGGGGTTAGGGGTAGTCAGGATTTTCAAAAAATCGATTTTTTTGCATTTTCTTTAAGTGTAATATCTTAAAAATATTGTCTGAAAGTTTGAAGTGAATCCGACAAATACTTTTCAAGTTATTCGACAAATAACAAAGGACGCTCAGGCACTCGAGAACGCTCGAGAGCAGGTATAGTGTAAAACTTTAAATGCGTTTTTCTCAAAACTATATTTTTAAACTGGTGACCACTGTAACTCGAAAACCGCTCAGTAGATTCCAATAAAACTTATACAGTTTCTAGAAAACATAAAAATCTCGTGGCTGATAGAAGAATTTATTTTCTTCAAAAATTTTGATTTTTTATAAACAATTAACTGTTGGTTTTTTCCCTAAAATCTAGAGAAAAATTTCTTGAGGTCGACATTTTGTTAATGTTAATAAAAAGCATCGATCAGGCACTAGATTATCTATTAATGAAACTATTTTTTCTTGTCCGATTGATTTTATACGAATCTTCAAGGATTTATGATGGTCACCGCAAGGACCTTTTTTTGAATTGGGTCAACACAAACAGCCATAACTTTTGAAATAATTAATTTTTTTTTTTTCAAATTTTCGTGAAGTCAAGTCAAACATTGAGTAATGATGCCATACTATTACTTTTTTAAAATAAAAATGATTTGCTGGCAAAAAAAATTATTAAAAATTCTCATTTTTTCATGTCTCTGACTACTCCTAACCCCTTAAATAAATTATGTTATTTTTTTGACAATTTTTTTTTAGTCAAAAACATTAGTACGTAGTAAAAATTTTTTTTAATAGAAAAAAATAAAATTTTTTTAAAAAAAGCTCTGTGAGAAAATTTATTCAAATGTGAACCAATTTGTTCAAATGTGAATCCAACTCAGTATTTCAACTGAGCATGCGCAAGAAGACAGCGATCTACTGTAACTTTGCGAAGTCAAACTGCATTTGATATACGAAAATAATAACAATTAATAATAATTTAATTACTTTTATCACAAACCAAAGCTATTGGCGATAAGAATTGTATATAATTTGAATAAACAAAGATATCGTTCACAAATTGTATAATTCAATAATTTACTCTTATTTCCATCTGCAATATTATAAATCCTTAAAAACCTAGTTACTTTATAATAAATAATGTTTTTGAAGCATAAATATTCAGTTGTTGCAGCTTAATTTTATGCTATTAAGGCTACATGAAAATCATGTTGCTGCCACATGATTTTTCTCATGCTACCGCAACATGATTGTTATGTGGCATCCACATGATAAATCATGTTACCGCAACATGATTTGTCATGTAGCCGAAACATGACAAATCATGCGGATGCAACATGATTTCATCATGTTTATTTACCAAGACTGCATCATGTTGCATTTGCTATTTATTTTTTTCCGTGCAGAAAAAATATGAATATATAATTAACGAAGTATTGAGTTCAATAATAATGCAGATTTACAATTATGGGCGCTAACTAAGTTTCAAACACGACAATTGGCAGAGGTTTTTAGGGATTAAAAAATACTATTCAGTCAAAATTTAGTATTCAATAAATCGCAGCCATTAAAAATGCTGCTCTTCAGTGTTGTATTTAAGAATCAAAATTTTTTAAATGAGTCGCAGTTTTAATCGTCTTAAAGTTGCGGCAGTGTTTACAATCTTAAGCAGTGTTTACAATCGAATGAAGAAGCAAAGACTACCATTTATATATTCTAATATTGATATAATTTGATAATGATTATTTTCGATAAGTCTATCTGATGGGCTAACAAAAAAATCTAACTTGATTAAGATGTTTACCTGCTTCTAAGAGAATTTGAATATTTAGGCACTGTAAGAATAATTGGTGATTGCCTCTGAGTCTGTAAGAGTCTACCATCATCTGTGCTTTCCGGATAAAAGTAATGTCCATTCGCATCGTAAGATATTGTAGTGTTTTCATTCATTTTGCATTCTTTTTAATATATATAATATTGTTAGTATTGATATTTGTTATAAATAGCCACACTTTACTCATAAATAATTAAATTGTATTTTTTGATTACTCAAAAAAGTGTTAGTCATGCATAATTATTACGCCAAATAAAAAAACAGCGATTTTCTTTTTAACAAACACTCTGAAAATATTATTCAGGGTATTTTTATATCAATAAAAAGGGTTTTAAACAATGTTTTTATTTTTCTTGTTAAATTATCACTATAATACAATCAAAATACTCTCAAAATCTTAAAAAAATTTCTCTGGACTAAAGAAACGAGTTAGAAAATATAGGAAATAACAAAATTAAATTTTTTTTTCAATACTTCTGAATATTTCTAATACTTTTGAGTTTCTTCTCTCATGAAGGATTAACATTGTTAATTATAAACCAATTTTCTCAACCGTGATTTTAATAATTATATGAGTTTGTTTTATCACCAATGCGATCAATATTTTTTGACTAGTTTTAAACTAATTCAAGTCAAGATGGAGCATTTCATCTTCGCTAAAGATCGAGACGGGATTGTCTCTTGTTGTTAGGTCGATGGACTCCATCAAACAAGAATACTAGTAAGCTGGAAGTTGTTAGTATCTGTTCGAGGTATAAAGATGTTAATAAACCAAAATCGTCTGAGAGCGAAAGCAACTTTGAAAAAATTCGTGAAAAATTAACCAAGCCAGGACTCGAACCTGGATCTTCTCGATAACATGTCGGAATGCTTTACCAGTTAAGCTACCGGGTCATTCTTCACTTTTATTTTCTCTTAGTATACTTAACTCTCAGAGGCCTACGCTTCTATCTGTCCCCTCCCTGAGTACTACGATGGTAATTGTAGTATTACTTCTTGGCAGAGTTGTTTTTATAAACC